TTTGTTTTGCGTATGAGCAGAGTTGCTTAATCAGTTCCAATTAGAAGACTAATATATTTTCCTTAGGCTTATGCAAGAATAAGCTTTAACAAGTAGCACTTGTTCTTAAAGCCAGAAAAGCTGCATTTCATTAGTTTTGCTCTCTTGGCTACGAGTCAGGATCAAGTTGGTGGAACTGACAATTACAACCTCTCCACTGCTCCAAACATGTTCTCCTCGCCTCCTTCCAAAGAAGTGCTGTTATGGTTTTAGTTTAAGGGAAGACACAATTTGCACTTATGCAGTACTGTGAATTAGACAATGTTCAAACTTCTCTTGCGAGTAGGTAAGCAACTAGAGGTTACACAGATGAGCCTCCTTATATGTAACAAGAACTATGCAAAATGCTAAGGACTGCTTTGTGCAGTTGGAAGAACACCTGGTTTACTGTGGCACATTGTACTGAATTCTGCAATGGATGCTGCTGGCTGTCTCTGCTCCCTGCCACAAGTGTAAGTTTTGTAACGGGTGCATGTTATAATTAATGCCTGAATTTCTAATTTTGGATGCTCAAAATTAGGGCTCAATAATGAAATCAGAAAGGGAATCCAAGATGTTTGAGGTAGCACCACACCATAAGCAGATAAAGCAATTAACAGCAAGATTAATGTGTGACTGAATTGCAAGGAAGATGTAAAAATGGGTACAACATACACTTCGGGTAACACAGCTCAAAGTATAAGAATGTTGCAGGGGAGTATTACCTATATTTCTCTGAAATACAGTCGGGTGCCTGGAAGCAGCAAGTCATTTGATGCCCCTACATTTGCACGCCTGTAGAACACTGTCTTCAAAGACTCGCCACTGTAGTAAGGTGCTCGCCTGTATACCTGGAGCACATGCGAGTTGCTGGGTTGACAGGTTCATATACTTCACATAGGAGACTTCCAGGGCTTGTTCCAACTTGCAGAGGAAAAAAATACATGTGACAAATGTGTACCTTCTGATATGAACATTTCAGAAGTTCTCTTGAAGCACTTAGAAACAATTTCATTCCTTTTGTGGCACAGAATATTTAAAAAAATGCTGTGAAAAAAAGTAGTAAACTAGAAAACTTTTCATGGTCTTTAAGAATAAAAATGTGGGAGTGAGGAAGGGAGAAAAATGATAGTGGTATGCAGCTGATGTGAAGTGAGGCAAAGTACTTCCCCCTCCTTCCCACACCCCTAGTTTTGCAGCACTGGATCCACTGGGCAAAGTCATTTAGAACAATGTTTTAGCATGGAGTACCAACTCCCTTTGGAACCAGAGGATGATGAATGCCTTCTTGTAGGCCAGATACGGGCTGCCTGCAACAGATGGTGGTGGGGGAACAGACCCTTGAATTCAACTTTCTTGCATTTTGAGATAACTAATGTACAAATAAAATGGTTCCTTCTGTCTAGTGCCATACCCAAAAGCAGTCTGGGATCACATAAGAAGCACCAGGAGGTAAGATCTGATAATAGTGAGATACCATACTGACACTTGATAGCGTATACCCTATTTCCTGATCCACAGCCATGCTTGCACTCCTTTTCACAGCAAATATGCTTCTACTTCTTAGCAATCTGTGCATCACTTGCACTGCAGCTAACTGGAATTGATTCAAATTAATAGTCTTTAATAAACTAAGATGCAATTGGTACTGAATATGCAAAATACTTAAAAGGTTGTTTTTCATGCCTGTTGCTAAAATTAATGCTTAGATTACAGGCAACTTCTTCCACTTTCCATTTTAAAACAGAGATCAAACTTTGGCTTCCTGTGAAACTTTTCACTGAGGTTAAGGGCTCAAGAGGGGAAAAAAGTTAGTATACTATGTCATAAAATGCAGGTAGCTTCCAACTTTTTTTTTTTTAACAGTTTAGCATGATTTTACATGTAACTTACCAAATACATGAACTTTTTTCTCTTTGTGTAAAGGCATTTGGATTTTTCAAATTTTAAGATCTGCTGCGGTAATGGCTTGTGACAGGAGTGGAAAAAACTGATGTGAGACTCTTCTGAAGCCTCTTGGAAGGCTTGAATTTGGAGGAAGGAAGGTAAAGAGGGAGTAAGTACTATGTATGTATGTGTGAGGAAACACCTCTTAAACACTCTCTTCAACTTTTTTATGTTTGTAAGATTAGATTCCCATTTTCCTAGTTTCTCTTGCTTTTATTCCTTTTAATTTGACAAGCTTTACTTTAAGGCAAGATCAATCAATTAATGTCTTAGTATTGAAATAATCAGTCTCTTGACGTTTCAAAATCTTAAGGCAAAAGCCTGTTGAGATGGCATGGTCATACTGAAATACTGTGGAGGAATCCTCTCCTTAACATACTTTTATTTTTAAAGCAGTTGAAAGACATAAGTGCATACTATCAATGTCTTCTCAAATACATTTATTCTACTACTCCCACATAAAAAGTAGGGAGAGAGATCATATTTAAAAACCATTACAAAGATATAACTATTGAATTCAAGTTGCCACAGAGATCATTTAGGAAGGAAAACCACTCACTCTCAACAATAACATAATGCCATGGGGGATGGTTGATTATCCACAAGATAATTTTGTTCCTGATATTTTAAGTCTCAGCTGCTTTCCCTTCCAAACCCAGCACCTTGGGGTATGAGAGCTTATTATAATTTATTCTCTGCTGTGCATTCAAGCCCAAACACTACAGTATAAGCTATCACTTAAAAATGCATCTTGTTTTCTCAGTTCTCAGTGCTGGCAGGTTGCGTAATTTCTAAGACAAAACTGAGAAGGTCTTTAAAAAACCAGCAGAACATAACACACATATAACGAAGTTGTAGTAGCCAAGTCACATTCTTACTTCTGGGGATAACAACTCAAAATATTGGAGGAGCCTTCTTGATGCTGCAATTCACTACTGGTTCCTTTTACTTAAGACCTTATTTAACATCAGACCACCCCCTTTAAAGGTAAGGGTGTTCTTGACGGCTTAAGAATAAGAAGATTAGGTCTTTCTATCACAAAGAGTAATTCAAAACACTTAAACCCTCTCGAATCCTCCTAGAAGTCTGGCACCAGAAATATTTTTAAATAGATATTTAACAGAGCTTTTTTTCTAGGAAGAAAAAGGATTTACCATGTTGTAATTTCTTTATGATGATCTCAAAACTAAATGAGAAAAGAGGCAAGATTTTGCTGCCACAGCCTAACCTTCTGGTTACAGCTTGCAAGCTTTCCTGTTCTTTCGAGCACTTTACTGTGGGAATCTAGAAATGCAGTCTCCTCTCTCACAACTGGAGCCGTGCCCAATGGCTATAGACAAGCAATGCCTCTTTGTTCTTTAACCTCCAACTGAACCAGGGATGCGAATCTGACAAGCTGAAGAAGCACTCTCATCCTGCTTCAATTGGGTCAGCTTTTCTGAAAAAGGCAAAGTGAAAATAGTTTTTCAAAATCCAAACACTGGGGAGAAAAAAACCCACAAAAAACCAATGGATTATCTAATATCTGGTTATTTGCCAAACTTGATGGTGTTTTCTTTTCCCTTTAGCACATGTGTTTTTAGCTGCTGAGAAAGAGCTGGAAAAAGCTAGACCCAGGGCAATAGGAAGACAATGCAGATATCCATAGCTCCAACCCTGACCTCTATAGCAATACATGAATGCAATCTTCTAGCTGAGTTCCCTTTAAGAAAGCTGGACCTGAGTGGTAAGTCTCTGTTGTTGTTCTTTCCACAAGTACTTGGAAGATTATTTCCATTGGTTAATGAGCTATGGGATAACAGTTTAGTTACTTTATCCACAATTGCCTTAGCAACAAGCAGAAAGTTGTTATCCTCTATGTGAACTCTAAAAATAGTTGTTTCTTGGGGGTTTTTTTTTTGGTTTTTACAAACACTGAACACCAAAAACCAAAACCAGAACCTAAGAGCATAGAAGTTCTCTGAGCAAAACTCATCCTCATGAAAATCTGCCTGTCAAGTTTGCGTGCAAAGTATCCTTTATTAGAAGATTCTTGTAGGCAGTGCTTAATATATGATACGCAGGGAAGACAGACAATAACCTACTATGCTGCTTTCTCTCTTTTTTTTCTTTCCTTTTTTTAAAATAGGATTTAACAGCCTACAGCACAAGATTCTTAGTGCCATGGAAGCATGGGCTACTGAGCATAAAATATTTTTATCACCAGAGGTAACACAGCTGTCAGTTCCTGGAGAACTTAATTATTCTCTGCTATTCTCCAAGTCTTGCTGTCCTTACAAACTTCTTTTTCAGTGACTTAATCTCCCATCCTGAAATACCAACATTGACTGAAACCTGAGATCACAGTACAAGCAGCTCTTTCCTTTCCTATGAAACAATAATAAGGCTTTGATATAACTCGACTGGAAAAAAAATCAGAATGTTTTTAGTAAAAGATTGAATGGGAATTTTATGTTCTGTTATCAACTGTTTTCCTGATTTACATAGAAGGTGGCTTCTGCACAGTTCTGGGAGAGATGGGTCTTTACAGAGGCCAGTGAATCCATGCTTATCCAGAGCCTGGGTGACCAAGAGTGAATACTCAATGTTCATAGACAGAGGAGGATCTATCAAATTAGAGGATACTTTCTGTGAAGACTTGTGGGAAACTTGCAGTTCAAGGCTATGATATTACAAGGGAAAGGGGTTTATTGGCTTCTCTCTTTTCCACCCACACAGCAAAGGAAATGTGTGTGTCTGTATCTACATAAAGAGATATGTGCGTGCACTGAAAATAATACGCAGCTGAGCTATGACAGTGACCTGTTTCACCAAAAATTATAGTTAAACACCCGATGAGTTCTGAGAGAAGGTTTTAAGAGGATCACCATCTCAAAAAGATTACAGTAATGTAGCTGAATCAATTGTCTGGTTTGAGATCTACAGGTTGAACTTAAACAAAAGTGTACCAATCTGTTTATTTCACTACCAGGCCAGCTGAAGTGGTCTGAAACTTTCAAGAGTTGCCTATTTTATTATTCATGTAGTTATCTTTATTGCACAATAAGATAGTTTGACAAATGAAAGTCCAAAAACTGTTATAATTGACACTACAATATTGATGCACTATGCTGTGTACAGTGATGCTAACATTACAGAATAAATCCACTTTAAATGCTCCAAGGTGATAAGCCCTTTGTCCTACCATCAGAGGTACAAATACTTAATAATATACCAGCATTTGGAAAAGTTCCACTGCCACCTGCTTATGTAAAATGAGCTGTGTATGACAGAAACAGGCTCCCAGTATGTTATAATAATTACATTATTTGCTTTTACTGTTTTGGAAACCAGCAGCATCCTCCCACTAAGGAATGTGGAGCATAGCCCACAAAGTATTTGTCCTGTCCTATCTCTAACATTGTTTAAGTTGGGGGAGGGAAGGAAGGAAAAGCTTAACTTTCTCCAACTGTTCATACACTCCTGCAAGACAACACATGCAAAGCTACAACCATACGTTAAAATTTTGTCTTTAAGCCTGTTTATATTGATTTCTAGAACACATAAAGCAACCAATTTAAAAATCATTTTCTCCGAGAAATTTGATCTGAGTAATGAACCCTATATGATCACAGAATTAAAGCAAGTGCAAAGAGATACGTGCAGGAGGTCCTTCAGAGAAGTGTCATGAGTCCCATGAGTTGCGGTTCATTTACTTTTGGTTTCTTGGTTGTGAGGCCATGTACAGTGCTACTAGACAGTAGATTGTCCCGCCTATTGTTAGAGCCATAGTGGTCCGATAAAGCAGCTTATCTGGAACTCCTCGTTTCAGGTGTACTGGCAGTCCATCTGCTTTCTGTGGGAAGAATTTAAAAAGAAAACAAACAAAAAAAATGAACACCCATCTCAAGGCCATAAGGAACAAGCTACCTCAGGTAAATAAAGAGACTTCTGTGAGGAAAACCTCCTGACAAATAGGCTATCTGCAATCAAGTGTATTATGTGTTTTTCATTTAGCAAGACAAATGCAAAGGCAAGTTAATTTTATTAGCCAAAGCTGTTAAGTGCAGGCAGAAAGACTACATCTTGTAATATTTCTAAAGAGGACCTGGATGGGAAAAGTGTCACTAACAAAAGAATGTGAAAAGGTAGGTATAAAAAATTATTCACCAAGTCAGACTGACACATTCCAAATGCAAGTGGCATGTAAGAGAGAAAAGGAACATTATATAAAGCACATTCTTCATGTTCTTTAAAAAATCCTTAACTGATTTGTTTTATGAAAAGTCCTAGTATGTTTAGAAATTGCATGGCTAACAAACTGGCTTTGAAAACTTTACTGTGCTCTTCTTATACTGCATTATAAACAGCTTCAATAATATTCAAATTATTATACGCAAAACAGTAATAATCTGCTTTGCTCCTCCAGATCTGCTTTAAGGCATATGCTTGGATTCCCAGATAGAAAGTGCTTCCAATAGTCAAATAATACAATAAGCATCATCTGAAGCCAGCAAAAAGACAACGTTACTAGACTTTCCACTTTCTGTATTTATCTCCCATACAAGGCATATAAACCTTGTAGTATAGTACAAATATACAGGTTATACTGTACTTGACACTTTCTTAACCAGACTTCACAAAATTTTGGTGTTGTAGAATGACAAAAGTAGTTAGCCACATTAAAATAAGGAAAGATATGTCCCACTCTGCAGTTTTCTTTAAGTTACTCCCAAAGTTGTCGTTACCTGAAAAAGTTTCTGTAGGTCTGGCACCTTGTTTTTACTCAAGAAAGAATCAGTTGCTGGTAAATCTGAAGCAAGTTTAGTTGTTGTCCCAAAAATCAGAGCTGGGGATTCAGTGGAAACTATTGGTTTGAGTCCCTGCATAAATAAAGATTAAAATATCAAGGTATATAAGACTTGCAAATGTACCAATTGTCACGTTAGGCAGACACACTGCCAGACATTACAAGGATACATTACAAAGAATATTTATCTGGTATGAAGAGCTGTGATAATGAGCTAAAGATACATTGTTGGCCCACTCATTTCTCAGCTACAACTTTGGGTCAGGGCTTAGCAAAGAGAATAGAAGTCTCCTTTCTGATGTCTTCATGACATAAATTTATAATTTATGCTATCGTAAGTCTTTCTGTGCTGGTACTTGGTCCAAATTGCTGCTTATTTTTTGCACATAGTCAGACTATCTAGGGCTCTATCTGAGTAGTAGGATTAGAAGCAGGGAATCCCTGATGCTTGGGTCAAACAGAGTGAGGAGACTTCAATGAACTCTTCCTCCTGAATGCTGCAAGCAATAGCCATAAATAACTGGGCCTTAAATAATTTAGATGTATAGTTTGAGGAGGAAAAAAAAGGGGGGAGTTAGGACCACTTGTTTCATACAAAAGTAGTAAGTGGTACTCAAGGACACTCCAGAAGCCCTGACATGGTGGATATTTTATGCAGGTGTAAGTACACCCTATAATGCACATGCTGCTGCAACTTTCCACACCTCAGTGTACTCCCATGAGCAGCATAATAATTTCCTTTTGGTTCTGACGGTTGTACTCTACATTTGCCATGATTAAAAACTACATAATCCAGTTCTACGGATAAGATTAAGTGCACAAAGTCACAGCCATTATGAGGTGGCCTCCTTGCCGTTATTGTTATAGTTAGATTTAACAGTTACGCCTGGACACATGGCAGTGATGTCTACGTTATGGCTCCTGAAACAGCTGTAATTTTTTTTTTTTCTAACTTGCCAGAGAAATTAAAAGCATTGTACAAGTAGGTTAATGCAACAGGTTTTCATTACAAACAGAAGCAGCATGGGTCAAGTTAAGGCTGCACTGAAATTCTAATTTCTGTTCGAAGGACTAGTTGATGCATTTTGTATTTAAGAGAACTGCCTGAACAGTATTTGGAGCTGGAAGCAGACTGGCACTCCTTTTATGCCTGCCACAGACCAGGCATGTTTTTTCCATATGCAAATTCTCTAAATTCTCTGCTACAATAGGCATCTTCAACAGAAAGATCAGATTTCTCAACATCCCAAAATAGCCTATGGAACGGTCATCAGGTCTCCATCCTGAAGACATGGTTACAGCTTCCCACCTTTCTAGTGCTTGAATGAATATTAGAATCCCTTTGTGACCTTAGTTATAGTTTGAAAGACAGCAGCCAAAACTGGATTCTCTGACACATTCAGTAACTAGTGCCCTCCTACTGAACAGGCTTGTGTAGAAGTTCTGAACTTGTATTTAAGACTAAGCGGTTCTGGTCACACCAGTAAGAAGGAAGCATCTAAGAAACTATTATTAGCCAGGGGAAGTTATTGGCTATATATTCAAGGCTAAGTACCATCTACATCAAAATACTTGAAGCAAGCAATTTTGGACCACTATTTTTGTCTGTAAGAACTTTAAGTACTTTATTAGATTTGTCTTTAAAAGGTTGGTGATTTGATAGAAAGAACTATAGAACATATGTCTATACCAAACATGCAGGTGGCTTTTTCTCCAAAACTTTTCTTGCTGCCTTGATTGTTAGTATCTCAGCAATGTGCATCTTTCATCCTCCTTTAAATTTCCACTTCTGAATCTCGCTTTTGCCTTCCTGAGGGCTCAACTTTTTCAGGAGCAGACTTTGAGATCACTTCAACAGCTACTCTAGATCATTGCAATTCCTGCTTGTTGTGATGTGTCTACTTTATTTCATGAACTATCTGTAGTGTATAAAAACTGTAAGTACTGAGAATTGGAGTAAGCTGCAAACTACTTCCAACAGTTCCATGATAAAGATATTTTCATCATTCCTAAACTCACAGATAGGGGGCTTAAAAATGTGATTAGCAACCCCTACCATTTGTTATTAGCGCTAGAACTCCTGCCTCTACAGGATACCACCTAGATGCAAGACACACTCTACAGATTACTATTAGAATAATGAAATCAGTCATGTTAACAACTGTAAGTTATTGCATACTTTTTTAGGCTTTACAAATACATTCCTGTTCAGATAGTTGTAAGGTCCCCTCCTGTTGTAGCAACAGGAGATTCCAACCTGACTCAAGTGACTAACTTCATCATTAAATCAAATTAAGCCATTTCAGAAAACTCATACAAGCATCAGTGTACTGTTGTAAATGACTTCCAAAACAGCATAGCACCACTTAAAAGCATCACATAGCAATTTCAGTAAAAATCATTGATATGGTTCATTGGCTTCAGGAAAGAGTACAACAAAACACATGCTGCAGAAGAGAGACAGTTCAGTTTACCTAACACAGACTGCATTAATCAGGGTCCCTCGCCCCAACATAAAATTCCACTTGAATTCTATCCATGAATTGTGCATCTTGTGGTCAGCTCCAACCAAGCTCAGCTAAATTAGTGCAGCCATGTGGCTGTTCCAACTGGGTACGTGTCTATGTTCATTGAGAGAAAGTGGCAAGTTCTTTATCTCACACACAGCTGCTTGCTAAGCTTAGCATGGCTAGAGAGAAATCCTCAGTATTACACGTAAGAATTTCATACAGATCATTTTTTAAGTAAGTAATAAAGACACCTGAGATGACCCTTAATTGTCACTTGTATTGAATATGACTAAAACTGCAGGCTTAATAACATTAGTGTCTCACTGTACTCAAGATAGTACTAAGGAATGAATGCCTCTACACATTTGACCTATGATTCGTAAGAAAATGTTTCATATTGATAATTCCTCTTCTGATATTTAGGTGTTAATCTTTAATTTCTAATCATGTTAACAAATTGGAATTTGTTCCAATTCTTGGACAAAGTACATCCCTTGTACTCGTGCAGAAGAGTCAACACCAGCTGATTTCATCAGCGCACTACAGCAATGACTTTGTCAAATGCTGCAGTCCTCAATGAAAGGTCAGGACATGTAGCTAATCCAAAACAACAAACAAAATTCTCTGCCTACCCCTCTGTAAAGTGTGTCTGTTTTCCTGTCAGAGGTCTGAAGGTCTTAGGACCCAATCTATCTGTTGGTTGGCCAACATGCTCAAAGTTAAAACAAACTTATGCCTTGCTAGCATGAATTCCCAAGATAGATTTACATTTTCCTGACAGCACAGAACAGTTAAGGATTTGGAGCACAATTTAATGGAGATAGCACCACACTTAAGTTTTTAAATGTTAGGGGAACTGCTCAAACAGATCAGAGAATGATAAAGTAGAGAAAACTGAGGTAAGGGCCAAAATGAAATGGGGAAACAGGAAAGAAGGTTAAGCTGAGAATTATTATTTCAGAACATGTATTGAAGTAACACTGCTGAACCTAGACACTTCTAACATAAATAGCAGGTCCTTCATAGTAGAACATACCTCACTGTATGAGGTTAAATATATTTGTTACCACTAAACACAAGGATCCTTTTAAGTAGGATCACTGGATGCTTTGTTTGTACTGGGATGACACACTTAAGTAAAAGTGATTTTGTATACATTTTAAGTATCACCTACAGCATAAAAGGTTAACTGTTATAGTTTCTCAATGAACTCCAAACAATTCATAACAGCTAAAATCAAAAGATCTGTGGCTTGTGGGGGTTTTACATAGCTACAAGCAAAATAAGTTGTATCAAGTGAATATATGATGGCATGACTAAATTTCTACTAGGATCATGGCCAGCCTTGAAGAACTAGGGAAAGTTCATGTAGTCATCCTCACCTGACAGCATTTGGAACTGGTCCCACTGTTTGTACTTCAAACATAAGCCAACTCTTTGAATTTATAGGTTTTATTGTATTTGTAATGGTTATGGCAGTCATTACCCTCTTAAATATGAGTAGTAGTTTTTAACCTATTTGACTCCTCACCTGCACTAGCTGACAAAGTTCCTGTTTATTCAAACAGGCTAAATTGTTCATACTACTTTACATAACTTCATTAAATGCAAAATTAAGTCTTCTAAGAATGCTAAGACTGAGATGGAAAGAACAATATAGGTTTCAAACCAAGAGATTTTTTTTGTTAGTACAAGCTGTTAGTTATGTTACTGTCAGCAAAACAATTTCTGAAATACATTTTGACTGATATTTTGCAAGCCCACAATAAGCCTAAACCTGCATCAGAACAATACTCCATTGGGAAGCATCAGAATGTAACAGTGCAGAATAGAGTGAATTATTAAACTGCATATTTGACCAAGAAGAATTTGAATCACAGGATGTCTTCATTTTTCCAGAAAAATCAAGATAAACAGAAGCATAAAAAGCAAACCATTTTACATACTGAGCTACGTTTTTTTTGCAGCAATGAAATCAATAGGAAAAAGTTTACTTTGTTTTGGACTTAACATCTACTTACTCACATGATTCTTTTCATATTTTAATCTCTATTTATTGCAAACAATTTTATCAGACTGATGCATCTGAATGTGTCACCTGGGAGTAGAGCCAAACTAAAAAAAAAAAAAAAAAAAGAACCAAAAAGCTGTCCTAAGAACATTACAAAAAGTGAGAGAAGGTAACTTTTAAAAATGTAGCTATTCTATTGCATAGCACATTTGTGTACCACAGTTGAGGACTAAGCCATGTGAATCGCGAGCCAGATACAAAAGACAGCGTTTCTTTCATCAATATGAAAAAACCCACATTTATAAAGCAAGAAAATATTTGTAAGACTTATGTGAAATGCTCCTGCTTGGATACAACCTCATCTTTTCAATTATATTCTCTCAAAAATTAGGTTTTAACATTTCAGTGATGACACTGAAATGAAATATAATGCCTGATGATGACCTAAAAAGAAATCACTACAATATTTTAGAAGAAAAGTATTTCTACTCCTTGGACATTCTCTTCCCTGCCTTGGAGAGCACAGAAGTGAGATCTATCTAGACTTTTTTTTTTTTCCTTCCTCCTATCTGCAATGATACCTGTATGTGAAGCTAGTTTTGCACAAACCCTGTAGGAACCAATTTTGATACATGACACTATAGCATTTTAATCTAGAAGATGTCAAGAATTCAGAATTTATCGTGTCTTTCTGTATCTAATGCAATGATATTCATACATATCTAATATTAACAGAACAGAATGTGGGATAACAGAGAATTCTGTATTCCCATCTTATCTTGCTTCTGCCTTTTTAATCCCTAAAAAATAAAGATTTACTTAAAATGGGATGATTGTTATAATGTAATGGAGCCTGCTGAATAGAAAGGTAAGCAATACTCCGCAACCTGGGCTCCAGAAGCCAAGAGTGTTGCCTTTAGGACAACTTTACTCCAGCTGGTTATCAGAGCTTCCTGTATTTCTGTGGTGGGGCTTTTCTCTTAGGATCCCAAAAAGGATGCATTACTTGCAGAAAACCAGTCACAATGACCTAGAGACTAATACATCATGTTCTAAGCTATACTCTTCCAGAAATGAGATACTTTACTGCTTGGGCTTGAAGACATTCCCCCCACCGCCCCCAATGGTAACCCTAGCCTTTGCTTTCCTCTACACAATGAAGTGTCAATTAACATTTATTCTTTGACTGTAACTTTGTGTGGAAGAGGTAGGACGTGCCCCCAACACTGCAACAGTGGCAAGAGTGTTTTCTAGCATGGGTGCCTCTTGGACATACTCTTAATGAATAGACATACTTTCAGACTAGAACATGTTATTTATGCCACTGTTACCCCTGTGCCCTGCAGCCCCCTCTCCCCCCAGGAGCTACCCAGGAAGCCTTCCAAAGAGTGATGGGGAGAGAGGAGGATAAAAATCTTCTTGGGACAGGAATTGCCATATCCGAAAGTCACTGGTACCTCAATGTTTACTTAAGATCATAGAGTAATCCAGGATGGAAGGGCCCTCTAGCGCTCTTTAGTCCAAACTGAGATGAGACCAGGTTGCTGTGGGTTTTTCTGGTCTGGCCTGGCCTTGAAAGCCTCCAAGGATGGAGGCTGCACAACCTCCCTGGGTGGGTACCCACTCCACTGCCTGACTCTTTTCACCATGACAATGTCCTTCCTTATATCCAGTTTGAACCTCTCTTGTTGCAGCTCATGCCTGTTGTCTTTTGCCCTCTCACCATGCAGCATTGTGCAGAGCCAGGCTCCATTGTCTTGATAACCTCCCTGTAGGTGCTGGCTGGCTGGTCTTAGGCCTCCACCTGCCTCTGTCTCCCTACACCTTCTCTTCTGCAGATAGAACAAGCCCCGTTTTCTCATCCTCTCGTCACAGGGCAAGTTCTCCAGCCTCTCTGACAATCTTGGTGACCTCTGCTGAACTTGCTCCAGTTGATCAAGAGCATTCCCATACTGGGGGGCCTGCAACTGAATGTGGTACCTAGATGTGACCCAATGAGTGCTGAGTAGAGGGAGATCATCACTTTCCTTAAGCTACTGGCTATGCATATGGTGATACAGCCCAGGATGCTGTTGACCTCTTTTACAGGCAGGACACACTGCTGGCTCTCACCCAGCTTGTTGTCTGCCAGTAGCTCTGGGGTCTCTACCACAGAGCTGCTCCCACCAGCCTGTCAGTTCCTAGCTTGTATCCCTGCTGGGGGCTTTTCCTTCCCATATGCACAACTTTGTCTTTTTTCCCCACATAGAAATTCATAGTGTTCCTGTCAGCTCATTCCTCCACTCTAGATAGGTCCCTCTGAACAGCAGCTCTACTTCGAATGTTTTGGAGCCACTGCCTTGATGTCTTCTGTAACCTTTACAAGAGTGCACTCTATTGCCTACTCCAGGTAATTGATAAAGTCCTGCACTAACCTACAGCATTCCACCTGTTAATGAGCCTCTGGGCAGAGTATGATCCGTTAACCACCATGCTAAGCCCAACCATCCAGTTCTCTTAACCTTTCTAACTGTCTATCCATCTAAACTATAACATCTTAATGCAAAAAAAAAAAAGAATTAAAAGCTTTGTAGTTGGTCTGGGCCCCTTGAAACAATTTGAGATTTTACATAAGTTTAATACAATATTCTTGCTTGCAGAAGATGACTGGATTTTCCAAGTAAAACTTGCATGGTCAAGGATATTCAGGAAAGCAGGTTGCTAACAGAATTAGGCTAAGAAAGAATGAAATAGAGTTATTTGTGTATCACAACAATACACATTAGTCTACAAGAATCAAGTATCTTTCAGTTACCTTTTATTAATGAGTTTCTCAGAAAAGAGACAAACCATAACTTTGATTTCACTTCTGCATGTACATACGTATCTACTTTTTTTTTTTTTTCCTTAAAAAAGCCAAGACATATCAGATGTGTTTTCTCCCTGGAGGCAGTTCTTTGGAAGGTTAACTTTTAAAAAGTCATTCTTCCAATCCTTAACCTCAAAGTTGTTGGGGGGGGGGGGGCGTTTATTACTGAGCTGTAAGAACTTAAGTTTTTGAAAGTTTACTCAGAAACTTGAACACGGTATAGCAACCATGCTGCATTTGTCCCATGACAAAATCACATTACAAACCTTCCCAGAACTACTTAGGAATCTATGTTGACACACATAAAAGCAAAGAAGTTCTGTGATTTCTTTTCACCAATATGCAACAATTGCCAATGTAATCAGGATCCATTCTCCTCTCCCTCAGCTCCCCTCCACTCCCGCAGAATTAAACAAGTATTAAACAAGTACTTTATGAAGTATGGAAAGTATAAGCCTATTTAATGCAACCTTTAACCTGTATATGCTTAGTAAACACATCAGCATCATACAGAGGAAAGGCTGTTTCTCATTTTGCTTTAAACAAACTTCTACAGATGTATGTCCTCTCTGAAAAGGGTTTTAATGCTCTCAGTAAGTAGTTTTTCTGCATGCCCAGACAGGAGGGGGACTACCTGCAGTGCTGTCCGGATTTGCCAGCTGCGATTTTAAAACGCCACCCACCACGGTTCTAGCTCAAGCGCAGTCCTACGTGATCAAAGCGTGTTAATTTCATGCTGTGACACTCAACGCATCCCAGAAGTGAATCAAGAGGTGCACCGCAGAACGAAGCCTCTCGTCTTGCCCAAGGTCACACGGCAGGCCGGGCCCACTAGGCGCGCCGCGGAAGATCCCTCCCCGCCAAATAAACGCCGCCAGGCCCCGACGGCCCCGCCAGGCGACCGCCAGAGCAGCAGCCGAACGCCCTCCGCCCGGC